GTCATTACTTTCTTTAGACTCATTCTCTCTTTCTTTCTTTCTTTCCTTTTCTTTTTTAATTTTTTTTGTGAGCTTTTGATATAACTCTCTTCGCAAAAAAAGATCTGGGAACAAAGAATCTAATTCTCCCCAGTCATGTACCTCGTGGAGTCAATTACATCTGTACAAAGGGGTACAAAACGTTACCAAACCCGAACAGAAGCACATTATAGTTGGTTTAACTTCAGAAGATGCAAGACTGGGGATAATTAGGTCCTAAATCTTGTGTATGCCAGAATAAATGGTAGCAGTGACATGTATTATCAGCCAAAGGGCATGAGATAACCCTATATGCTGAAAGCTGCAGGGACGACCTACTGATACATGAGTGTCCACCTTTTCACCTCACCATCTCAAAAAGAGCTGGTTTAAAATTTATTTGTAGCCTTTCATGCGACACTATCAAGAAGAGATCTTTATATTCTTTCCTACTTCCCCCAAAACACAGTCAATCCTGAGTCCTACTTTGAACAGTCCTAAAACAGATGACAGAGGAAAGCCTTTCTATTTGTTCTGATTCAAGATCATAAATCCTGGGAAGATAAGCAAATGCTCTGTCTGTCAAATAAAAGCAACGGTGTTGACAACAATGCAACAATTTTACATATGACTGATAACAGCGAGAGAGAGAGAAAAAAAACTGATTTGAGAGAATGATAGTCGGGATCCAAAATTTCACTTACATGTTAGTGTACATTAAAAAAACTTTAATATTTCTTTTAACATGACATTCTACCTAGCCAGAGGTAAGACCCAGGAAAGAAGAAGGGAAAAAGCAGCTCTGAGTCCCTATTATAATCAAAGGAAAGTGACAGCCAAGTTATGGTTAGTGAGACTGCAACATATCAACAGCTTTATCACACCAGAGGCACATTTTGACATAATAATGAATGGCTGAGAAAGAGTCACTTTTATCTAGGTCAGAAGAAGAGATCACAAAATGATGCAGAAGGTGTAGAAAATCTGTATGTGTGCATGGGGGGGGGGGAGAGGCGGGGGGAACAGCAGGAAAAAAGGGGAGTACATCAGCAAGATGTTAATATTCAACATCAGCAAGAGGATTGCAATCTGTAGAGAGAAACTCATTACATCTTGACATTGCCTAATGCTTGTCACCCAAATATATGGTAATTACTCTACTGTTATATTTCAATATAATAGCACAAAACTCTGATTCCAGCTCCTACAAACAAAACTAAGCACATTTCGTGACAACTTCATTAGTAATGGAAAAAAAAACAGACGGTAAAGGAAGCAGATGTCTCTGACATCATCTATGGTTTGATTTACACAACTGAAGACGTTTACAGTATGTATGCATTTTAAAAGAACGCAGAGTAAGATAAATTAGGAGACTTTCAACATTGTCTTTTTCTTTAAAAAAAAGAACATTATGAAAAGAAAAAAAAATATGGCTCAAGGAAAAACACAAGAGCAGCATGACAAAGATATTACCAAAAGCAAATATTCACCCCACAAAGGGTGTTTATTTCCAAATTGATGTGACATTTCAGTGCAGATTTAAAGAAACAAGGATCATATTTTAAAATAATCAGATGCTGGAAAGAAATTACTAAGATTAATTGTCATCCAAGCCTGCAGTAGGTGAGAGAAACCTCTTTGAAGTGACAACGCAAAGAGCAACCTTGACCAGCCATAAGATGTTGATGGCAAATCTAGTATACAGATGTAACTGATGTATGTATACTGATGAAACACAGGTCTGGAGATTTATCTGGGCTCTTCTAATCACTACATTCCTACCTGATATTAATATATTACCACTGATGATGATGACATCAAATGTTTGCATTGACAGGAACTCCTACACCTTTGCCACTGGAATTAGTGAGAGTTATGCACAATGGTCAGCTAAAAAGAAGAGAGACTTCATAGTGTGTTACAACAAACAAAGAAGGATGGAGGAGTCTTACTGAGAAAAGAGGGAGTTCCTTCAGCTTCTCTTAGCCAAGAGGAGCTGCACAGAGCAGCAGCATCAGTAGCGAGGACATTAGCAGCTTTGAAAATCCAGGGGCAGTTTAGTATGATGAAGCAGTATCAGAGTTTCACAGGATCCTTCAGAAACCTCCCAGCTAATATTTAACTGATAGATTTATGGGGTTTTATGGATTTTTTGTGATGGTTTCCCTCTCCTGCCCATCCCCAAAGTTCATTTAGTGCTCACAGAAGGTGCCAGATTGATGGAACTGGAGACTGAAGTCTTCTCTTTATCTACAGAATAGTTACAGGAAGAACTCGTCCTCATAAAACCCTACCAAAGTTCTTCCGTTCTGACCTGGAACCACATCACATGTCATTCAGTTTCTATGCCTAGTCAGTCCTTGGCCTGTCTGCTGAGACCGCTAATAAGGAGCCAGATTTACCAGTACACCAACTCAAGTGATGAACAACAGATTTAAACCCCAGTTTTACTGAGTTTATGGCTACTTTGCCCCATTGGAGTAGCAAGTGGCCGGAATATACTGCAAATCTGATCCCAAGGCGCTGCCATTATGAACTGGGCTGAGACCAGCAACTCATTTCATATAGGCCACCAAATAGCCATCAAACGGTAACTACTTTGGGCAACTACCCACTTGGGATGGAGTCAAATTGTTCACCTGGAAGTGCAAGGCTCCATAATTTATTACCAATCCCTTGACCTATCCATTCCTCAGCTGGTAGATTTGTAAAGATTAACACAGCTTTATTTGAAAGGCAGCAAAAGTAGTTATAAGTGTTTGTTTTTAAAAATCCTGCTAGAACAAATATCTATTTTTTAAATAAATCTTTCTGCATGTAACAGACTGTACACACATTTTACAAGAATAAACAAACTCTCTAATTCTTATTCACATACTGAGGAGTTGGGGATCATTAGTGCAAACTACTGCTGACCTGCAGCATTTAAACTGTAAACTTTGGGTATCCTAAGTGGTCCATCAAGGTACAGCAGATGTCCTCAATCAGTCTAATTTCCTCAATAGGCATATTTTGTTCCCAGGCATGAATACTAGTTGGTGATATTTCACCTTCATAAGGAAGGTAGAAAAGATTGGTGGAGGTGGCAAACAATATTTGGTTTAAGCTAGCAGGAGACAGAGGAATACCAAGGAAAGCATAAATTGCTTCAGCTGTCTTCTGAGGAGAGCTCACAATATCTTCAAACTTGACCAGCTGATAATTTGTCTGCAGCAGATCCCCATTTACTCGCAGCGCTGCTGCTGTGTTTGCTAGCCACAAATGGGACAGCACGGAAACTGCATTTGACCTAGAATCCAAGAGTTCTTCCCTCAGTGATTCATATTCAAAGGCATAGCCTGAATTTAAACCACACTTTTCTTTCCCGCCTTCCATTTTAAACAGCATAGCTAAGTGCTGTGGAACATTTTTCAAGGAGTAAAGGCTTGGCTTACTTTTATACAACATTGAGTAGATCCATGCCCGAGGATCCCTTACTACATACAATGCCCTCATTGAGGGACCTATGATTTCTTGAAAGAAAGGAAGCTTTAATGTCCAGCTCCCACTATTTAAACTAAGCACAGGACGTGCATTTGGATAATAGGCAAGGTGTCTCCTCAGTTCCCTAACGTATTCAGCATCTTTGTCTAATTTTCCTCTTGTTCTGCTTCTTTGTTCTGACAAAGACTCTCTCTTTCTGGATCTTTTCTTTTTGTCCTTACTTATGGTAGAATGCTGAGCTAATTTACTTCTGCTGGCTTCATGTAAATGAATATTTTGTAAATGCAGTTTTGTGTCTTGGACTAGGGATTGGAGCCAGCCTCGGAGTAGACGGAAACGGCCACTTTGGATATCAGAAGCCTTCCATTCACATGCATCTACAAATGAGTCAATTTCAAATTCAGTTTCAGGAATATCAAGGTAAGTTGTAGGGATCCTGATGTATATGAAATCACTGCTGTTAAAAAAAAGTTGCTTTAAAATGTCTGCTCCAGAACTGGGAAGTGAGGTAATTACCACATCTGGCAAAACAACAGGGTTTCCTTCTAACTGTTTGGCTGTATTGCCTGTATCAGGGTCTACATTTATGATGTCACTGCTCCATTTTGCACAGATAGGCTGAGTGCAAGTGCTCCATACATCCAACAGTTCAATAAACCACAGTGTGATAACCAGAATTAGTATCCAGCGCAACAATTTGCTGAAGGAAATGTAAAACCGCCACTGAAAAGCCAGTATAACCAAACTAATGCCCAAAACTAATCCTGCTATTATATTCACTTTGAATCCAAATGGGAAAACTGTTCTATTATTTGTTATCTGTTCTTGTACAGCTTCAGTGCCTAGACCAAATTTGATAACTTTGTTTTGATCAGCTACCTTGGCAAAGCCACCAAATCCCAAATAATTGAACCTTGTCCTCATACTGTCATATTCAGTCACAATGGAGACAATATTTTCAGTGTTGTTGACATTTAGAAAAATTTGAAATCCATATTTGGAATCATCTATGAACCTGCAGTTAGAAACATTAACATACGGTCCATAGAACACATATGCGATTCTTGTAACAGTGGTTTTCATAGGAAAGGTAACATTTATGAACTGAGTCCACCGCTTTTTGAACTCTGCTGCTTGCTCTGCCTCTTGTATCCTGGCAACAGGACTACTCCCATGATGATCAAACCAAAACATCTTATAGTGAGCATCCCACACATCCATCATGGCTCCACTATATTTGTTCATAAACTTATAGGGTATATATTTAAAATCAATGTCAAGATTATGAAAGAAGGCACTGACAGAGCTGAGGGGAGAGTCTTTCTCCTTCTCAATATGGTCTACTACTAGCAATGTCTGAGCATTTAGGAGTAGCAAAGTACGATACACGCTTTTCAGTTTCATTGCAGAAGAGTAGGCAGATGCTGCCTCACCACTCACAAACATCATCTCCCCATACTGAGAGGCTGTTATAATCTCCCCAGCTGAGTCTCCAACCTCATCACCAATCCACTTAAGCCACTGTGCACACTCCCCAAGTTGTCCCTCCCAAGGTTGATTACACTGACTTGTAGGAGATGGAGCAAACACCAGTACATTATTCAAGTGGCTGAACTTGGGTCCATATAGGGCCTCGGATACAAACACCTGTCCATTGGGGGCAAAAGTAAATGAGTTCTGATCTGGATGTTCATGCCCTGGATTGAAACTCCTCCATCCATCAATCCAGGAATATGGCTGAAAGTGAACTATGTCATAGACTGCACGGCCACCTAGCTTTCCAGATTTAAAAGACACAAAGGTATTGGTCTGAGTATTTGGCAACCCAGCCCCATAAGTAACAACCCCCCAGTTAGGAAACACATGCATCTTAGCAGTGCCATAGTCAGGGGGAGGTTGAGGAGTTAGTTCTGCAGCATACCAGATGTATTCAGTGTGAAGTGTGCTCCACCTTTGTGCGGTGGATGGCACCATCGGGCCATCCTTGGGCCTGTGCTTTCTAATCTGTTGTGCCAGCCAATTGCCAGCTCCATTCTTCATTACAAACGTATCCAGGAAAACCAGCTGGCTTTCAGGGCCATAAAACCAGTTATAATTAGAATCTGCTATGCCCACAGTCCTCTGATAGCCTGGTAACAGTGTAGCATAATAAAACCAAAAGTGCATTTTTAGCCAATTGTTTTCTAGGTTATTAATACCAAAATGGCGCTGGGCCAGGAAAACATATTGGGTTACTGACTTAGCTGTGTAACTGCCGTAAGCTACTCCTTCGTCCAAAGAACCATCTATGATGTGATTGAGCAGAAACATGGTTTTTTCCATCACATCAACTACAGCATGTTTCCAAATATTTGTCTGAGATTTTTTGTCCACCCCAGTAACCAGGGCGCCTGTGAGCAGTGCTAGCATATTAGTGGCTTGGTGGTTATGGAGAAGTTGCTTTCCCCATGAGCGGACTTTTGAATATTCGTACATTTCCTCACTCACAACCCATATTTTCTTTAGATATTTTTGTCTTCTGATGTTATCCAGTGAGCTATATAAGAAGTCAAAAGCAGTGGCAAAACCTGTTAAGGAGTGGCCAAGTGGCACTTCATCTCCATGAGCATTCTCAACCAGCCAGTCTTTGTAGCCAGCCATTCTGTCCATGTATTCTAGAACAAAATCAAAGGCAGCTTTATCTTCCGGGCATAGCAAACAATAAAAAGCTAAGGGAGGCAGATTGTTACCATAAATCTCATTCCACTTTGCAGCAAAATCAGCATGCTTGGGTGGAGGTAGGTAGTATGATGGGTTGGACAGCATAACTGTCACTGCACCTCTGATAGCTCTGAACAGATGTAAATGGCTTGTACGAGACTTTTGCCTCAGTGTTTGGATATCATCAGCATCAAAATATAAGCTTGGATGAAGAACCGCTTTTTTCAGCTTCTGGTTGGCACTGAAATCTTGCAGTTTCTGTTTCTCATATTGATCCACATTTTCTGTGAAAGTCACCCAGTCAGAGTAATTGCTTACAGATTCTTCAAAAGTGGAGAGAGCAAACATCGCTAACGCTAGGAATAAAATATGTACTGTAAACATAAGAGCCATGATCCATTAGGCAGTTCCTTCCCTTCAAGCATACATCTTTACAAAACACAGTGTTCAGATGTCAAATGTTGATCCAGATAATATAACAGTGTACACTTAAGGCATTTTTGCTTAAAAACAAAAGAATAAAATAGACTCACTGCTCAGCTTATCTGAAGTACAGTACTGAAAACAAAACAAAGGATTTCTGAAAAGTTGAAACACAGGTGCCTTGTCTGTACTTTGCACAGCTACATCAGTAAAGCATAACACATTAAACTAAAGGGAAGGTAAAGTCTCTACATTTCCCATGTGAAACACAGTCTGATTACATAAGTCAAGGGACTAAAAAACATAGTATCTTTTTTGCTGAAAAGCACTGGAAAAAGATCCCAAAACTTGAATTTAAAATAACTGAATTCACACAAAAATCTTTCCCCCTCACATTCTGATAAAATGCCATTCCTAGAGTAGGAAAAAATTGCACTGATGATGAAATCATAACATTTATTCAGAACAATGTTTTGTTTTTGCTGAAGTAGAAATGCTCAGTACTTTCTACAATAGACTCAGATGTTAAATTTGAGTCCCTAGCCTTCCTGTTCTCTCGTTTGTATAAAAATTTTTCTTCTTCATAGGCTTGAGAGAGTGAAAGTGGGGGAGAAAAACAATAACATTTCTCCATTAGCCTCTCTCTCTGGAAAAAATATATATAGTATTTCTAATTCCTGTTCATGTCTATTTGTGGAAGGTCTGTTTTGATGAATATTCATAAAATACACAATATGCTCTCATGTCGTCTTCTATTATCTTCATTTCATCTTCAACTAGTGAAATCCAACCTATGTCTCAATGGTTCCGATGATTCTACTCTTCCCATCACGAAGTAAAAGTAAAACACTTGAAAGGGGCGCAAAGCCAGTGTTTTTCAACCAAAAGTGCTATTTCTGTTTTCTGTTAGCTTTGCATATTTGATCCTTTCTGTGGAAACACAAAAACAAGGGGGAAAAAAAGTTCTCTGATGTAGTATAGATCTCAAAATATATTCTACAAATATGTAAAATGCATCACAAAGAATTTCCAGGTTCTCATCTACAGAACAGTAAATATTAAGGCTATAAAGAAGCAATAAAGAACAACCTTGTCAAAGTCTGCTCACTAAATTAGCTTCAGAATCAAAGTAGAATTAACTCATTACCTGAGTTTCTATTTTATTTTATTTTTACTTTTCCCAAGTTGTCTGAAACTGCCAGGCCTGAGAAATTATTTTACCTTCTTACATTAGCAGAGTTCATGTGAACTAATGCAACTGTAATACTTCATTAGAAATATAGAACAGGCTTCCCCTTCCAAACAGTTCTAGTATGTGTCTGTGTATTCTCCTAATCATTTAAAAAAAGTTAAGATATTAACATTTTCCCAAGTTTCTCAACCCTTTATTTCTACAGAACCTATATCATACAAGCACATATACTGGATGCCCTGCTTCTAAGGGTGAAGCCTATTTTTCCTTAAGGGAACATATATCAAAAGTTTGATATTACTCCATGTGCACTGTATACTCCAGTGGTAGGCAACATATGGCACACGTGCCAAAGGCGGCACGCAAGCTGATTTTCAGTGGCATTCACACTGCCCGGGTCCTGGCCACCGGTCTGGGGGGCTCTGCATTTTAATTTAATTTTAAATGAAGCTTCATAAGCATTTAAAAACCTTATTTACTTTACATACAACAATAGTTTACTTATATATTATAGACTTATAGAAAGAGACCTTCTAAAAACGTTAAAATGTATTACTGGCATGAAAAACCTTAAAATAGAGTGAATAAATGAAGACTCGCCACACCACTTCTGAAAGGTTGCCGACCCCTGGTATACTCCTTAACAGTGTGGCCACACAATGTATATTTGACTGAAGCCATCAGAGGGCGCTATGAACCAATTCGTGCACAGCAAAATTTCTCCGTTTGCTTATGTTAGGTTTGGACAACTTAACAAGTTTCAGTTGCAAACTGTGCATATGTTAAACGCATCACTGATAGTCTCATCTGACCTCTCACGCTACTTCTGTGACAAAATCCTCCCCAGCTCTCCTCTTTTTGCACTTATGCATGTTTTAAAATATAAGGCCATCAGCTTACCTTAGCAGCTTCTCTTGTCCATGCGGACAGCGCACCAGAGCTTGTGGCAGAATAGCTGAGAAAAGTGTTGAAAAGAAAACAGCAGGCTGCAGTGTAGTTCTCTCGGGGGCCCTCGGCTCTTCTCCTTTCGGTTTGCTCTGAGAGCTCAACTTCAGACAGGATCGACTGAACTTCAGCAATTTGTCAGAAAGCTCTGCCCCGCAAGAGGGCCAGGGGCCGCCCCCTTCATCAACGCGGGGACTGACTTCTGTTTATTGTTAATACTTATCATGACAAGTGCCGGCAGATCTCTTTCTCTCTCTCCAATAGTGTTCAAACTGCTCCCCAGAAAGATCAAGCGGGGCGGGGGGCAGCCAGCGCTACAAAATAATCGCCGAGGGCGGGGATGCGGTAGGGAGAAAACAAAACAGGATTCCCCAGCAGAGTTAGCTACACATGCGGCAGGCTGGGATGCCCTTTTGGCTGGGGGAGCAGTTCTAGCTGCTGCGGCGGGCGAGCCAGTGGCTGTCTCCAGAGCGGAGCCCCCTTTCTGCCTCGCAAGCCGATGGCCCGGCCACCCCTGCGCCTCGCTGTGCAGCCCAGCAGCTGGGGCTGGGAGTCGAGAGGCAGCTGCGGAGAGGAGTGAGAAGGAGGCAGCGCGGCAGCGGCGGCAGCATTGCCAAGGCGGGCGGAGCTAAGCCGGCTAACAGCCCGGGGGCTGCCCTTGCTTTGCTTCTGCTCCAACTCCCCCGGCGGCCCGAATGAGCATGTGCGAAGGGTGGGTGCAGAGCTCCTGCCTTTACCTTGCCCCGAGAGCCGCGGTCCAGCGGGAGGTAGGGACGTGGGGAAGGAGGGAGAGGGATGCTGGGGGGGATAAGGAGATGAGTGCGTGGAGGCGAGGGGCAGGGTGTGGGTGAATGGGAGGGCAGCGGGTCTGGAGGAGGGAGGGATGGGATACGAATTGGGGACACTGTGGGTCTTAGGAGCATATCAGATGGTTAAGTTAGTAGACAGATAAACAGCTGTTACTTCCTGCTTGAAAGGAGCCTGCCTGAGACATGCAACCTCCTGGTTACCTGCCATAAGATCATAAATTTCAGTATAGATACATAACTCCTTAGGTCAATGGCAAAACTCTCACTGTCTGCAGTGAAGCTAGGATTTAACTCTGTGACCTAGGGACCTATTGGTGCCAAGCTGGCAGAGGGCACAGGAGGTACAAGAGTTTTACATGGACCCACTGAGTCAGATACATGCATAATAATTCTCTAACTGGTAACATGTGAGGTCTTTACTGAAAGCCAGTAGCCCACTGGTCATCATAACCACGGTGAGAGGCATGTATGGATAATATTTAAGGAGTTATGTATCTATATCAGTGGTTCTCAACCAGGGGTACACAGAGGTCTTCCAGGGAATACATCAACTCATCTAGATATTTTCCTAGTTTTACAATAGACTACATAAAAAGCACTAGTGAAGTCAGTACAAAGTAAAATTTCATGCAAAGACTGGTTTATACTGCTGTATTTACCAGGGGTGGACAAATATTTTGGCCCCAGGGCCACATCAGGGTTGCGCAACTGTATGGAGGGCCTGGTAGGGAACGCTGTGCCTCCCCAAACAGCCTGGCCCCTGCCCCCTATCCGCCCCCTCCCACTTCCCCCCCCCGACTGCCCCCCTCAGAACTCCCAACCCATCCAGCCCCCCTGCTCCCTGTCCTCTGACTGCCCCAACCCCTATCCACACCCCTGCCCCCTGATGCCCCCCCCCGGGACTCCCACCCCATATCCAACCGCCCTCTGCTCCTCATCCCCCGCCCCTAACTGCCCCCCCGGGATCCCACCCCCTTATCCAATCACCCCGCTACCTGTTCCCTGACTGTCGTCCAGACCCCTATCCACATCCCTGACCCCTGACAGGCCCCCCAGGACTCCCACTCCCAACCCTCCCTGTTCCCCATCCCCTGACCGCCCCCCCCACAGAACCTTTGCCCCATCCAACTGCTCCCTCCTCCCTGACTGCCCCCCAGGACCCCCGCTCCCTTACCCAACCCCCCACTCCCCGCCCCCTTACCAGTAATAGGAGCTCGCAGCCGTGACACCCTGACAGAGCCAGATGCGCTCCCCACGCTGCTTAGCAGGAGCGGCGGGCCAGAGCATGGCCCGTGCAGTGGCATGGCTTCGAGGGGGGAACACCTGGGGAGGGGCCGGGGACTAGGATGTGGCCCGGGGGCCGTAGTTTGCCCACGTCTGGTAAATACTATACACTCAAATGTAAGTACACTATTTATATTCCAATGTATTTTTTTAATATTTATTGGTAAATAAATTATATGGTAAAAATGAGAAAGCAAGCAATTTTTCAATAATAGTGTACTGTAATGCTTTTTTATGTCTGATTTTGTAAGCAAGTAGTTTTTAAGTGGGGTATAACTTGGGGGTGTGCAAGACAAATTAGACTCCTAAAAAGGCATACAGTAGTCTGGAAAGATTGAGAGCTATACTGAAAATTAGGTTTTTATGGCAGGTAACCAGGAGGTGACATGTCTCAGACGGTTCCTTTCAAGCAGGAGGGAACAGATGTTTATCTCTCTGTCTCGTCATGTGTGTGTTGGGCATTGTATGTCTCATACTGGATGCCTGTTTGCATACTGAGCCAAATGCAAATGGTGAGATTGTGAAATCTTCATGAGAGGAAATGTACAGGAAGAAACAAACAGCAGGAGAGGATCCTGTTTACAAATAAAGATAATGTACTGTTGGAGTACATCTGGGAGTCAAGAGATACCCGTTGGCTCTTTCACCGAGGAGTCAAGCTGAACAGAGTACTTGTCTCATGAACAGCAGATCACAGCCAAGCCTGGCTTCAAAATGCTGGAAGAACTTTGGGAGAGCCCTGCTCTGTAAAACATGAAAGTACCTAGTGCAGGCTCTAGTATGTGTGTTATGATTTTATTCGATATGTAACCATTTGTTTCCAGGTTTCAGAGTAGCAGCCATGTTAGTCTGTATCCGCAAAAAGAAGATCAGGAGTACTTGTGGCACCTTAGAGACTAACAAATTTATTAGAGCATAAGCTTTTGTGGACTACAGCCCACTTCTTCGGATGCATTTGTTTCCAGTATTTCTACTTGCTATTATTTGAATCTCTACTCTGTTAAATAAACTTATACTTGTTTTCACTATGAACATATCTAAGTGCCGTGTGTTGAGCAAAGCGGTGTTCTGAGGTGAAATAGCAAGCGGGAGTGTACTGTTTCCTTGAAAGCAACATATCTGTGAATGCTGTGAGTGTCCCCTGGAACAGGCCGGACACTCAGGGAGAGGCTCAGACAGCTCAGGGCTTGGTGCTAACTGTAGAGAGAGAGCTGGGCCTCCAAAGCCTAGAGGGGAATATTTATGTTGCCCGTGGCTAGTGGAGTCAGGGAACTGACACACGGCAGGCACAGCCCTGGATACCGCCAGGAAGTGTCACACATTCACAGTCTCAGACTCCTCCTACAAGCCCAGAGCAGCTGCTTGCCTGCCCTAAAATAAGGAACAGTGAAATAGTTAACAATGAGGATCACTGCATTGACTTTACACTTCAGACTCAACATGCCAAGGAGATGATGGAGGAATACCATACCTCTTTAATCCATTGTCTCTATCTTGTTTGCACCTCAGGCAGATCAGGTTCCATCACTATAGCACAGTGTTCCCAAACTTGGGATGCCGCTTGTTTAGGGAAAGCCCCTGGTGGGCCGGGCCGGTTTGTTTACCTGCCGCATCTGCAGGTCCGGCCAATCGCGGCTCCCACTGGCCGCAGTTCATTGCTCCAGGCCAATGGGAGCTGCTGGAAGCGGCGGCAGTACGTCCCTTGGCCCGCGCCGCTTCCAGCAGCCCCCATTGGCCTGGAGCAGCGAACTGCGGCCAGTAGGAGCCGAATCGGCCGGACCTGCGGACGCGGCAGGTAAACAAACCGGCCCGGCCACCAAGGGCTTTCCCTAAATAAGCAGCATCCCAAGTTGGGAATGTAATTAACTCGTTACACAGAAAAAGTGCTTTTTTCACAACCATAAAGATCTAGAAATTTTGTTACCATTAAAATAAAAGCTTACATGTTGCAGAAATTAAGGAGGCACCAGAGAAGTACCTGTATACCACTAGGTATTGGATTAGTCTAACCCCTCTTTGTAACATTTTCTACAGTGAAGACCTATTTCTATGATGCACTGGAATGGCTCCTGGTCAGTGTTAGCTCTAGGGTCTTGTTCTTGAGTGCCTTACTGAAGTGGAAAACGCCTACCTACTCGTGGTCACTCATACAAAAATAAACCAATGAATACTATTCTGTGCCCAGCCTGGCTCCCAGTAAACTACTGTGGACCATTGGTAATAATAGAAATATAATCTGGTCCCTGATTTGGTTTGCAGTTTGGATTCTTGGTTAGGACATTAGGGTCCATGTTTATAACTGCCTGATTTAATAAAAAAATGTTCCTTTGATTTTAAGTGCTCAACAGAGAAAAGAGAAGGAGTGAGATCTTTTGAAATGTTACTGATCACTGTATTTATATACTGTACCTCAGAGGGAAACTGTTTTAATCAAATTGAGCATGAGTCACGACCTGTCCCAGGCATAGCCCTTTTCCTTCTTCATTTTTCCTTTTTTCCCCATGATATTTTAGTCAATACAATTTTATGCTTGAATATTTCTTAAGCAATGCGTTTAAAAACAAAGCACTTAGTTGCATAACCATCTAATCTTGAGAAGAATATAAGAATATATACTGCTACTTGGCCTGCATTCTGGAGAAAACATTAAGTGAAGTAAACTATTGTAGGGCTTCTGATTTTTGGTTTTAATCAATGTACACTGAAAAAAGTTCCAGATTTTACAAAAGAAAAGTACCCACTCAATGCTGGAAATTGTTACTCGTATCTAAGGGCTTGTCTACACGAAACAGTATTGTGGACTATGGGAGTGTGATTTTTATAGTGCACTACTATGTTGCCCATTATTTGGTCTGTGTAGACTCTGCTACTGCATGCTAAAGGTTCCCCAATGCACTTTAATATTGTGCTGTCTGAACCAGCACTACATTAAAGCGCACTAGGGAACATTACAAAGACATTACTCATTACATTATATACCACTATACTGTAGTGAGTAAAGTATATGATATACATAACTGATTACAGAATATATACACAAGAGAGAGCCCTGAAAAACTCCAATTTTGGACATCTACATAAAACTCAAAAATTGCAAAAAAAATTATGCACTTTTCAAACAATATTCTGGAGTCATTCTAAGATGTAGGGTACACCCTCTGAACATGACTTTAAAAGAAAAAAATGTCTGACTATGGGTGGCTTGTGTCCTCCTCTCAGAAATATCTACACAATGGTCAGTCATCTGAAAGACAGGCAGAAAGTTCTTTGTCTGTGAAAAGCAACAGAGGGTCCTGTGGCACCTTTAAGACTAACAGAAGTATTGGGAGCATAAGCTTTCGTGGATAAGAACCTCACTTCTTCAGATGCAAGACTAACACGGCTACCCCTCTGATATTTGTCTGTGAAGTTATAGAATAGCTGTCATATGATAGATTACTAATGGAGGAACGTGAGCAGGGGCAGGTTTTGGCCCCATAGGAAGCAGGCATGAGCCATGGCCCTCCAAAGCGCAGATGTTTTGAGAGCTACAGGCTAATCCCACAGCTTGTGGAGCTTCCTTTCAAAGCTTGAGCTTGTAAATGAAAGCCCAAACCCTTTGGAATATTCCCAATATCCCCTATCCCCCATACAATCACAGCTGCACTTACTTTGTTCCCTACTGCACCTTTCCT